CAAGAAAGGCACACTTGCATCAGCACTTCCAACCGGACGCGGCGCAACGGAATCCGCTGACGCTCCATCTGCACCCGGCCGCGCGGCCGGCCGGCAGACGCCAGTCAGCGGATTGCTCCACCGCTCGCACCTCGAACAAGGAAAACCGGCAGCTCCTCGTCAGTCTAGATCCAACCTGCGATCAGACGTCCCTTCACCATGGCGCATCCCTATTCCCGTCCGGTCTGCGGAAAAACTTATTCCACACCAGCGAACGTCCGACGCCACGTCCGGACAACTCACGAACGTATCACCTACGACTGCCCGGTCTGCCCCGCGAAGATCCGCCACATGTGGAATCTGGACGAACACCGGAGAGTGAAGCACCTGCAACAGCGTCCCGCCTGCCGCCGCTGCGGCAAAAGGTTCAGCAGTGTCTCCTGCACCAGGCGCCACATGACTGCCGGCCACTGCAGGACAGGGCTGGGAAATACCTAGGTAAAAAGTACCTAGGTACTGTACCTAGGTACTTTTTTGGTACCTATAACTGTACCAAGGTACTCAAGTCACAATTGTTACTGTACCTGTACCTAGGTACATTTTGGGCAGTAACTTTACCTAGAACTGCAGGTACTTTTACAGGTACTTTTGGGCGCGAATGTAGGGAAAGACGGGTAATGAGATGCGCTCCAAACAGTGCGGGGATAAAGAAAGACACTCAGAGGACTGCCTGTTTTCGGGGAAGAAACAGATATTCGGCCCCCTCCCCTTTTAATGAGCCTCCTCCGGGCTCCATGTGGCAGGTCTGGTCACCGCACGCACTGCCAAGGTGAACGCAGAGGACTTGCACTATGAAACAATGGACACATCTCAGCAGGGATCATAGGGTTTGTCCCTAAAATGCGTTACCGGAACCATCCCATTATAGGAGCGAGGTCAAGGATGGTCCCTGGAGCCGCCAACGATGCGGCGTGACGAATCGGGGTTGTAAACAGCACACACGTTGGCATGAAAAGGGTCATTGACGCAAGAAAGTTTTAAGGGACGAAAAAGTCGCGCGAGGTTTGTTTTGGTTGCGTTACTGGGCGGATGTGTTGAAATATCAAAGTCCAAAAAGAATTTCTAAATTCCGTGTCTTATGGTACTACTATTTTATACCTCGAAATCATAAGAGAAAGGCTCAACATGGCTGCCAAATCTAGGACGAGCTCACAAAGGGCTGCTGTCTTGAGTGGTCCCTTATCGGATATCCTCACATCATCTGGGGACTTTCAACGAAGTCCAAGAATGCCAGAGCGAGACGGTGAAAATCAAGAAAATTCAGCCATCCAAAATGTCCCGCAAAGCTGTGTACCCCTACTACCCTTGTAGGAAGGGGTCTGAGGACAAAGATGACGACATGTTGTCTATTTTAGCCATGTTGAGGGATCCAGAGGTACTAGAAGACATGGACATGGTTTGTGGCCTTGTATTCTCATACTTCGTTGGGTCGGACCAGGGTCTGTTGACTCCTCTTAGAGAAGCATTTGAAGGCCTTAACATTGAGTTTAAGCAGACCGACATGGATGCTTGTAGGACCAAGTATTATGAAAATGTTGAGACCATGGTGGAAAGCATGGTTACAATTGATCATCGGCATTTTTTAGCAATTTTTTGCGTGATGGTGTTGTGGACGGCTAACAATTTGTCTTCGGATAACTACGAAAGATGGTCCGGGTCCAGATTTCGGGGGGCATGTGCCAAAGCAGGTGTTCCAGAGGACAGAGCGAAATTCAAATCCATAACTCCAGGTGTCCTACCTGTTGCTCAATTTTATGAGAAGGTGACAAGCTTCTGGCAAGCCAGGAAGGTGATGATAGACTACTTGGTGGCAGCCAAGGAAGTGGAAGGAATACAGGGCACAATGGCGGTTTGGACCTTGAATTTGCTGGAGTGGGCCGAGTGCACACATATCCGAACAATCCTGACTGAATTGGTTATCAAGAGACCTGACATGCTTGCTATATCTGAGTTTAGAAGTGAGTTACCATACTTGAAAGGGAGTCTGAAGTATTTGAAGTCTCTTGGCAACCGATATCCACATTGTAAGCTGATCACAGATCCATCGGCTAAGAACCCTTTGAACTCCGCAAACTTTAAACTGATGTCTGCGGTGGCATGGAGCCTCCAAGAAAAGCATTTGAGACCAGGGGCTACAAGGGCGGAAACCAATTACAAGGGGATGCGAGTTTCACCGGAAGACCCACTGTTCATTTCTGCTATCGCCAAGATCAACTATTATGATAAACAGTTGAAGGTGTCTGAAAGGGGTGTTTTCCGGGAGACTTTTGGTGAAAAGCCTGTCCAAGACTATGAGCAAGAGCTTAAAAATGGCGGTTTTGAAGAGGATTAATATAGGGTATGTGTTAGGTGAAATTGTAACAATCTCCCCTAAGCCAATGTGCATTCACAATGATATTATCAGCTGAGACCAAAGGCAGCTTTTATTCTTTTAAGTTTGGGATTAAGTATATAAGACATCTCCGATGTTATACACTTTATTTTCAAGAATCCTTTTGATAAATGTTATCATCACCATGACTATTATTGTCCTTATTCTGAAAGTACCTGAAAAGTACCTAGGTATTTTGCCAAAGTACCTGTAACTGTACCTAGGTACAGAGCTCGATCAAGTACCTGTAACTGTACCTAGGTACTTTTTTGATCCAGTATCTGTATCTGTACCTAGGTAAAAATATAAAGTATCTGTCCCAGCCCTGCTGCAGGAGGCACAGCCCCCTGCGTCGCAGACGCAGCAGCAGCAGCGACAGCGGCATCATCTCCATCAGCAGCGGCAGCAGCAACAACTCGGAAGAAAATTTCTTCCGGACCTGCGCTTGCTGCGGTGGGAAGATCATACCTTGGCGCTACGAAGAACATGTAGCGAAATGCCATCTGTAGCCGCTAAGGATCCTGGTGACGAGGCTCGAGGAGCAAGACAAAGACCAAGACCGAGAGCAAATGGAAACCGAGATCCGAGACCAAACCCAACCACCACCACTTACAACCGCCACCCTGTACTTTTCCTGCGAGGGGTGGATGATGCCAGCTCCGCTGGAGGAGGCCCCGTGCTTCTTCTCAGCGGAGGGCTGGATGCTGCCAGCTCCTTAAACCACCAAGCCACCAGCAAGCAAACCTTTTGAATTAGTCTTTGCACTAGGGTATACATTTAATCATCATTACCTTGCGGCCTTGAGACGAGTCAGTTTATTCTTATAATTATTTTGGCTCCCAGTCTGTTAAATAGTTGAAAGTGCCGTAGCACCGGTTGTATGTTTGCTACGACTGAAAAAGTCGAAGAGGAACCGTCAAAGAGGAGCCTTCCCTACCAAGAGAAGAGACCCACCCCCCGCCTTCCGCCACCGGGCTTCGGGAGGCTGACGCCGACCCCGAGAGGCTGCCTCCGTCCCCAGGGAGCACGCCGTCGACCCCCTCCAGGCCATCATGGACGAGCTTGGAATCGGGATTCTCGAGGATCCGGATAGGTGAGACTAGAACTTATTTTCGTCATTTTGAGTACACTTCGCAAAGCAAGTCGTTCACTCCTTTTTTTGTTTTGTTTCAGTGCCATGGGAGACCTTAGCCAGATAAGGAGTGACGTGCAAGAGGTGGAGTGCCCCGTCGAAGAAGATGAAGAAGAAGAAGATGCAGACTTAGAAAACTACGTTGAGCCGCCCCCACGGATGGACGTACTGCCGCGCGCTGTCATGTCAATGGAATACT